GGTGAGCTTGTGTGTTTGAGCCAAACAAGTGTGTGTGTGTGTGTGTGTGTGTGTGTGTGATATAAACTCAGGGCCATTTGCTGGTGTGATACGGCAATATACACTCTTAAAAATAAAGGTGCATCACGATGCCATAGAAGAACCTTTTTTTGTCAAAATGGTTCCATAAAGAACCTTTAACTTCTGAAGAATCTTTGTTTCACTAAAGGTTCTTTGTGGTGAAAGAAGGTTCTTCAGATTATAAAAAGGTAAGAAAGAGGTGGTTCTTTAAAGAACCTTTAACTGAATGGTTCTTTGTGGAACCAAAAATGGTTATTCTATAGCATCGCTGTGAAGAACCTTTTAAGCACCTTTATTTTTAAGAGTGTACTTCTAGATGAAATATTAACATAGTGCTTAATGATTTACATACTTCATGAATGAGTCACACAACATGTCATTGGTTATATTAGAAGACAATCAAGACAATATGAAGGTAGATAGCGCAAAATAGAGAGACTGGTGGAGAAAAGAGGTAATTGAAAGACAAAGCTCTGCTCTTACTCAAGGACAATCAATGGAGGATGATATGAACAGATGTGTATGTGTGTGTGTGTGTGTGTGTGTGTGTGTGTGTGTGTGTGGCAATGCATGTGCGCCCGAGTTAACAATTCTATTCTATGTATGCATATCACTCACTTTATCATATTCCTTAGAGTCAAATAACCTCTCTCTTTCTCTACCCTCAGGTAAAGTTTCATCTCATTTAGTTAATTACTGTCATCTCTGCATTGTTAAGGGTTTTGTACTACACAAACACATTTCACACACAAGCACAAGCACACCCACACTGAACACTGCATACTAATGCTTTCAGCATACACATAAACACACAAATAAATATACACATGCTACCGTATCAAATATCAAATATAATATAATACGGAACTGAATAATAGCACCTCACATACTATTTTATATGTGTTAAGATGGCACCAAATTAACCTCATAGTCTAAAACCCTGCCGTGAGTATCATCATACAGTTATTACTCGCATGGTTCAAGCAGCAGATTTCATCATGCTGGCTTCAGTAATGTTAATAGCTCAACCCTGGTACAGAATTATTTATTTCTTTTTATTTTTCGCACAAAACACAAGAATACTGCTTGAAAATAATGTTGGGTTATACAATGATATTTACTAGCGAAGACTGATATTTTATTTTTTTTTGCACTGATCCATTCATTCAACCACACTATATAAAATGAGATTTTTTTTGAAAGGTCAGCAGTAACCTTCTCAAAAGAATAATAAATACATTTTTCAGAAAATTTCAGGAACAAATGGCACTGTGTCTCGATATGGTTTAGTGGTCTTGTTGGGAAGCAGAACTTGACAAAATATTTAAATTAAACAGGTACATTTACTCACCTGAGGAATCTTGGGACCTTCTTTATAAAAACAGCCACATATATTGCACAGCCTGTGAGAAAACCTGCTCGGATAAAATGCTTGAGTTTCTTTAATGCCAGTCACAGCACTTTACACATGGGGAGGTTTATGAAAGTGAGTTGGAATGAAAAGAAACAGAGGAAAATGCATTGACCTTTGTGAGCATGTTCCTGACTCTTATGATTCCCTTCTGCTGCTTTGGCCAACTGGGACAGACTGTCTATGACACACACATGCTACTTACACACCTGCCTGGATTAGAGAGCACACTTCTCTCTGTCTCTGTATACCAGCTGCATGATTATAATGGTCCAATCTGTATGCATGTCTCATTCACTTTCATTCTATCAAAAACACTGTTACACTTATTAAGTTACAGAATAAAAAAGTACGTACCTGAACCAATTCTATGGTGCTGTTTCAAAACATGGTGAGACGTCTACAAGGCAGCAATTGTAGGCATCACAAACACACTTCAGATGGAAAGACTGTTACAAATGATAGACAGAATTATGCTGCTTAGTAAGACCACAATTATGCCCAAATTCTAAGGTAGCATAAAAATAAAAAAAAATAAAAAAAACCTGGACAATGTGGGAGAAATAACAAATATGCTGCATTCAAATAAATATACATTTTATCCAGTGTTCTTGTGTGCGTGTTAAGATTTCTGTGCTAATTATAATGTGAGACATATCTAAGTGTCATGCTGTTCGCTTAGCAATATGCTAACTCCAACCTCTATTCAAATCAATTGGCCACATCCAAAAACAGTACTTTCAGAACTTAGTACTTCTTGTCAATTATTAATCACTTTATGACTGCTATAAAAGTATGTCCTACACGCTATAGTATGAATGTAATCCAGATCTACTACATTTGTCATTGACATGTAATCTACAGTGTCAGTAGATTCACTGCCTTTCACGACTCCTCTCCCAGGACCTCATGGGATAGTAAGATGTCCATTAAATGTGCATTTCAGAATCTCATCAGAAGTATTAGGTCATCTGGGTAATTTTTGCCTGCTGTTTTATAAATACTGTGAATTGGGACATACAGTTTTTGCCTACTATAGTGGCAAGTGGTGACTTCTTTAACCAGGTATGCAAAAATCTTAAGTTAAACAGCTCTATCTTTAACGAAGCACATACAAAATACCTGAACCGGAAGTGACGCAACATGTTTTACAGAATACAGAAGAACTATACAGAAGAACTATTTGCGGACAGCTTTTCTTGCACACGAAATAAGCCACATGCCAACAAAATAAAGAGAATGCAGAACAATAATGATGATTCACAGATATAGAGCATAGGGGCCAAAGCTGTTGTGGATCCACTTACCTAAATCCCTCCGTAATTGGCACAGATTTGCAGAAAATGACCACTGTTTGGCAAATAATTTACAGACAGTTACATACGAATTACTAACATTTTATTATGTAAGCCCTATGTTACACCTCAAATGACAAGGCAAATGTATAGTAATGTTGATATTTAGCCAGCCAGCCGAACTCATTCTCTTAAATGACTATGTAGGCTGCTCAGTAGTTTCTTGCATAGAGTTCATTAGGTTTCGAAACTATTTCTCCTTCCATCTTTCTCAAATACAGCTCTCTCTCTCGCTCTCTCTCTCTGTCTGTCTCCTACTCTTCACACCCACAAGCTGGGATAATGGTGCTGCGTCTGCAGCTTGGCAAGATGGAGAGTGTGCAGAAGGAAAGAGGAAGTGCTAAGAGACTGAGAGAGGGGGAGGGCGAGCAAGCGAGAGCATCTCCAGTGACATGATATTTAGCACAGCCAAAGATATCAGAGAGAAGAGGAGGTCACAAAACTGGATATGTTAATGAGAAGAGGAAGCCTGGAGCTTTTTAAAAGACCAGCATATCTGGTCACCAGTACATGTTGTATTGTGATGCTGGTGTCCTCACCAGGCTTCCTAAAAAGCTCAAATTAAGGGAGTTAGTTCACGCAAAAAAAAAAAAAACGAGTTATGGAGAACCCAGAAAAAACACTGTGATAGAGATCATAGTTCACAAGAAGAATCACACCAGGATTGAGTACAGAAATGGTAGTTGATGTTGATGCTGATGTCTATTTAAAGCAGATGTGAAAATGTGCAAATAAAAAGTGTTAAAAAATGCTGATTAAAACAAAGTTTATTACTAAAAAAATCTAAGAACTAGAACTGCAGTTGATATTTCTATTCCCAAAAAGATGAAATGAAATTCTGACAGCTTGTAATGTAAATCAGTCAAAATCTTTTGAACTGTAGCAGACTAGTTACATTAAAAAAACCATCAAAATATCAGTTGTGATTCTATATTTCCCAATAATATGTCTTAGTAAAATTGTATTTAAATGCTTAATTTTATGATCAAAGCTCTTCTGTGTGGGCAAAACTTATAATGCAATGTAATTCAATCATGACTGAGAGACGTACAAATAAATAATCCTAAAAAGCCTGATGTATAATATTAGATTTTTCTAAATTATTATTTATGGATAATCACATAAACCAGCTGTGGTTGCTTTGGAATATTACAATATAAAAGTTATTCTTAAATTTACAATATAAGTACCACAACCTGAAGAGGGACTTTTTCTTGCTAAAAAAAAAGTACAAATGACAGAAGGCATGTAGTAGATACAACAGTTTTTTTCAGCAAAGTTTCGATCATTTAGATAATTTAGAGGTCTTGGAAATTTGCATATCAAAAATGATACAGTAAACTTAATAGGGTTAACTCACAACTCAATCCATCCTCTACTGCTAACTCAATCTAGTTATGGCTAGCTTACATACACATATTTCTTTTACCAAATGGAATATACCCTTTACATAAAATTAAGTCTTGCATGATAATTGACCATCGCAAGAAATAAATGACAATATATATGTAGGACAGATAAAACCAGATAAAAAAAAAGCATGAACATAAAAGGCTCAAATAAGAGTGAGGGAGTGCAATGAAAACTGTGGAGGACAGAGAACAAACAGGAGAGAGTGAGAGAGAAAGGAGTGCTAATAAACACAGACTCTGATTGACTTGTGTGTGAAAAAAAAAAGCTCCCCCCCCCCCCCAAAAAAAAACATTTTGTGTTTCACTGAAAGAAGAAAGTCGCATGTTTTGAATGACACAAGGGTGAGTAAATGATGACAGAATTTTTATTTTTGGTTGAACTATCACTGTGACAGTTGTGATTTCCCAGGACACTACTGATCTGTCAAGAGCTAGACAAGAGGAAAAAGAAAAAAGAAAAAAAACCGGCAGCAGACAACTAGCCTATACTTTCTATATATTGAGTTTCACCAATCCAGTATAAACCATCATGATCTAAGCTGGTCTTTACAGCGGGATATTTAGTGCAGCCAAAGAAACCGGGAAGAAAAACACATGGCAAGAGCAGAATGGATGAACATAAAAGGCTCAAATAAGAGTGAGGGAGTGCAATGAAAACTGTGGAGGACAGAGAACAAACAGGAGAGAGTGAGAGAGAAAGGAGTGCTAATAAACACAGACTCTGATTGACTTGTGTGTTTTTAACGGGATGCTGCCCACGTCCGGTACCGTCACCCAGGCTTTGTTTTCACTCCGTCAAGCCTGCTCTCTCTTCTCCGCTCCGCTCGCTGGAGTGTCTCTGTACGCTCTGCTCTGCCTCTCCACCCCACCGCACATATGAATGATGGGGAGCTCAGAACATGTAACTAGGCCAAAAAAACCTGGAGGATGAACAAAGGGACAAATTATATGTGAGACTTTATTTTCTGTTTTTGCTTGACTCGTTTGAGCAGGAATGAAAGGGGTCATGAGCATGAGAGCAGGTGTGTATACTGTACGTGTTTGTATGAAAGGAGACAGAGCAATTAATAGGATGTTAGCTGGATGAATTTATAGAAAGACACAGAATGTAAATGTCTGTAAAAAAAAAAAAAAAGAAAAAAAAAAAAGGTGAATAGTTTGATGTACAGAATGCAGTCATCATTTAGCCCACCCACCTTCATGTTACTACAAACCCATATGACTTTTATTCATCTTTAGAACACAAATAGCTATTTTAATAATCTTTCATCTGTTTTTTTCTATCCATTAATAGTCCATGCAACCAAAATATTCACACAAGAAAATGTCCAAAAATACATCGTAAAAATAATCTGTATGAATCAAATTGGTTAATCCAAGTCTCCTGAACAGATGCAATCCATTTATATGATGAATAGTTCCCTTTCAAGGGAACTTCGAACTGCGTCCTCTTTCATACATTGAAAAAACACCAACGCCATGGCCGGGGACAGCTATGATGTCACTACCGGTGCGACTATAGTATAAATAGGCGCCGGGAGAACACATCATCCTCTTCTTCGTCTTCACTGACTGTTTTGTTTGAAGCGTGCATTTCTGTGGTAAGAGCGAATTCTATTCATATCATTATGGCGAGCACTAGCAAAGCGTTTAGAGGATGTGCGCATCCATGTCGTCATTATTTGACATCTGATGACACACACGATCTATGCGTTGTTTGTTTGGGCGAAGAGCACGCACACGATGTCCTCGAGGGGGCAATCGGCGTGCACTGCGAGCGTTTTTCAATGAAAAAGCTCCGCTCTCGTTTGTCTCTCTTTTCGAGGAAAGAGGGGCAGCCATCTGCTTCCCGCGATTCAGGACCCGCCGCTGCTGAGGCACGGAGGAGAATGAACTCGTGGGGATCGCAGGTGGACCTGGTTGATGAGTTTAAAGAGGGGTTTTCCCTGAGCCGCTGGAGGATGATGTTATTTCATTAACACTGTCTGATCCAGGGGCCAGTGCTCTGCTGAGTTCAGCCCAGGAAGAGCAGGAAATGTCTGAGGAGGGCGAAGAAGCTCAGGCTGAGCTTTCCCAATCCTCCTGCCCTGCGTATGATGAGCTTTTGGAAGTTATGGATGGCGCCACGGCAAGGCTTGTCTTGCCGTGGAAGCGGGCAAAGAAAGTGACGTCGTGAGGTCATCTCGATGAATGTTATCTTTCTGGCCATAACCCTCCATCTCAGGTGAGCCTTCCTTTCTTCCTGATCTCCATACAGAGATCGAGAAGGAATGGAAGAGCCCGTTTTCCTCACGCATCCATCGATTCCAGCATACGAGTTATGCCAACATCGAGACGATGCACGAAAACGGCTATGAGAAGATGCCCCCTACCGCTGGCCAGCTATCTCTCTATGGGTGAGACGTCCTTTCTTAAGACTCCCTCCTTGCCATCTAAGCCCCTTCAGGATACATCTCGCTTGAATGGCAGGGCATACGCAGCAGCAAGTGGTGCTCCAGGCATATCAGGGCCTTTCTCCTGATGAGGTAACTGAGTTGCGCCACACCACGGATCTCGCTCTCCGTGCTACTATTCAGGCCACCTGCTATGGGCAGGTCCATGGTGTCTATGGTAGTGACGGAGAGACATCTGTGGGTGAACCTGAAGAGAGGGGCTTTCTTCTCGTTGCTCCGGTTTCGCCTTCCGAATTTTTGGTACCTCCGTTGAGACAGTGGTCGAGAAGTTCAGGGAGGCGAAGGCTAATGTCGCGGCTCGCGCTCCTCCCCCGCCTGCAGGTAGGGGTAAGAAGAATCGCGGGTCAAAGGGAGGTAAGCAAGACCTAAGGGATGTGATCCAGACAAGGCGTCAGCACTTTCGTCCGGATCAGAGTGATACTTGAGTATCTACTAATTTCCCTCGGGGGGTTTTACATCTGCCCTTCTCTTCCCCTTCCTAATTCCCCTGTAACCACCATCTCTCCACCTGACCGAGGTTAGGTGGGAACTTCCTGCATTACAGTCTCCTATGCTGGACCTATGATGTTTGGTCGGTTCTATGGCTTCATAGTGACCACCTTACTGATGGTAAGTGACCAGAGGCTTTTTCGGTCGCTTCCTGAATGGGGCTCCGGCGCGGGAACCATGGTGGGTGAGTACGATCCATTTCTAAATATAGCTGGCTCAATTTACCCCACAGCATTTGGCTCACTTTGCCCCATAGCTGCCATTTTGGAAAAAAAAACTAGCTTGCTTACTAATTCAGGCTAATATTTAGCTATATGATTTACATGCTTTTATACATTGCTAAATCACTTGTATGCATCATAAATATTTTTAGACCTGGATAAATTTACTTTGATGTAACAGCCATTACATCTGTTATGCTAAAATTTTTCTTTGACAAGCCAAAAACAGTTTTTAAAGTAATTGGGTGCCTTCTACTCCTCCCGTGTGTTTCTTCTTTTCAGTCTGGCAAAATTATGGGTGGTTTCAAAATATATGGTCACATGACAATAAAAGTGTACAGATGGCAAGATACAGGTGGTGGGTCAACTTACCCACTGGCTCATCTTACCCCACTCTCCCCTATGTCTGCACAGACCCTGATGTGACACTAAGCACTTTTCCCGATGTCAAAGCCAGTTTTTACAAATATGAGCGTTGGCGTGGATTTAAGCGTACACACCCTCTATGATCAAATCTGAGCATACGCACGCTTTATAAACGATGCCCCAGAACTATTACCTGCTTAATTGATGTAGAAATAACAAAGGAATAGTCCACGCTTGTCCATGAAACAGCTTTTGAATCAACTGTCTAATTACTTATGGTCCCTAGAAAAAGGGGGGAGGCACATATTAAAGAGCTGTAATTCCTTAACCTTCTCTCCCATTTTGATGTGAATACTCTCAAATTAAAGATTAGAGTGTGCACTTTAAACCCGTATTTATTATAAAACTGCAACTTGAATATGGTCAGCAGCTAAATTAATAAAAAATGTGCCTGTCTAAATAAATATGGGCCTAAATGTAACTGGAAAATAAAAGCAAATGACTTTCCATTAAAATAAAAAAACGGAAACCTGCTTGCTTAATGTGCAAGAACCAATGAGGCTGAAAATATAAAATATTTTAATTTGTGCTCAGAAGATTAACGGAAGTCTTATGAGTTTGAAACAACATAAGGGTGAATAAATGACGACAGAATTTTTTTAATTTTTAGGTCAACCATCCCTTTAAAGGTGTTGGACAAGCATTTTTGTCCCTAGTACCTTGACAAATATCAATCTTTTCTTGGGAAATCACACCTGTCTCAGTATGTGACAGTGCTAAGCTCTAGCCAGTCAGAAACACTCAATGACGCCAGTGAATCATTTTGCATGTCAAGTTGACATGTCTCGGAAGTAAGGGATTCAGAGAAATGTGTGGTAAAACAAAATGGCACACAGCACCCTTGGCAAAGTATGATCTCTAATTCAGAATGCTGATTGGTCAATTAAGCATTTAAGCAGTGCCAAAATACATGACAGTAACAATCAAGATGCCATGCTTTCGCTGTTTAGCATGGACAGCTGTTAATAAGCAGCTTGTTCCACTGATGGCTACTCAAAATCAGACGCGTGTAGGCCTATACTAAAATAAAATTAAAACAAATATAATACATATTTAATTCTTCATTTCATACTCCCTGGTAACAGCTACTGTATGACATGAAACATAGGTTCAGCATGCTTCTGTGTATATAATTCGCAACACCCACCTCTTTTAACCTAGTTGACCTATCAGGGACTATATCCAAGATGACACATTTAATGAATTTGCTTTGTAATATATTTTATTAATATTAATAATAAAAAACGGTTCTTAATAAGGCCTCGGAGGTTGTATTATATTGTGAATCACAGTCTATCGTCCCTTTTTACCTAAATAAAATTCAGGACACACTGCTGTATCCTTTATAGCTCTCCTATTTAGGGTCCATAACAGCCATTTTCACACAACTCTTATTATGGTCTGTCCACCTTAAATCCACAAGACAAGATCTTACCTCTTCTTCATCTGTCTGCGCACCTCCTCTCTTCAAACTCTATGAATCACGAATCACTTAGAGACTCTTGAATCCTTAGATTCATTACATCTCAAGGACCCAATAATTGAAAGCATTAAGAGTCTGAATTTGGATGTACACCAGGGCTGGAGTTTAATTTTGAAATGTATAAATTAAAATGAGAACTTCTCGAGTTTTCTAATCCCCCGATTGGCAGAGAGAGAAAATTATTGTTTTCCATTTATTGTTTCGTTGGGCGTTAGTCCCATCTAGTGGCTCATAGCAAACTATATAGCTCATATAGCGCTAGGTTACACTACAGCGTCCCCTGGAGGACACAAGCGGTGCCTCCAGCCTTTGACAGTCCTGCAAGGTTTTAATGAATGAACCATTAAACAACAAATGTAATAAAAGATTAGATTTTAATAATGCTTCTTGTTATAAATACATGATTATCTCGAACACTTCATAAATAGGTTTTAAAAAGCACCCTCTGTTTCAGATCACTTTACAGATGTCTATAAATACTATGTATTACAATAACAGTCTTTCAAAAGGTACTGAAAAAAAAATTTTACATCTCTTGTTTTTCTGAGTGAACTCAGTGCTTGATTGTGTTCTGGGTAGAGACAGCGCTTTTCCTTCTAATATACAAACCTTGGCTATTAAAAACAGATCCAAGATCAGTTTAAAGAAGCAGTTGCAGCACAAGATAGAAAAGAGTCCATGTGTGAGTGCAGTCCTTTTTGCCCCTGTGGTGTCTTTAGTGTACATGAAATGGACTTTTATATTCATTTTAAATGACAAACAAACAAACGCACAATGATCTGAGCGTATATCAGACTTCATATAAGGTCAGTACGAAGTATTATGAATGTATACAGTGTGATAAGCATTATGATACAGAAAGACTTCATGGTCTTTTAGCATTTGGTCAACAGGCTTTGTAAGTCCATGTTGTGTTTGAATTAATGAATGAACTTTAGCTGCACCAGAAATTGCCTACTTGATGCCAACAGTGTTGCTCTGGAACCAGATCCCTCTTATTATTATAATCATAATAAAATATGTATATAAAAAAGGCGAAATTGATCTGGGATCATAAGTCACTATACATAAAGTCTCTGGTCTGATCAATACCAGTGCATAGCATTCAATTGGATTGTTATAAGCTGTTCTAAAGGTGTTGGTAAATGTGTGTGTTATTTGTTAATTATTAAAGGGTACGTTCACACACTCTCTGAGTGTAACGTTTATCTTCCCTAAGCTTTTCGTATGGTGTATTTGCCTTTCTGAAGCTGGGAGATGTAGATTTTGGTTTTGGTGCCATCTGTGCGCTTGAACCAGACCTCTCCTGTGCTGATCCCTGTTATCATGGCCCTGAAAGAAACACAAGAAAACGGAGACCATTTCAATTAAAATGTTTTTGCAAACAAACCCAAAGCGAAGACACATGCGGTCTTATGTCTTATGATGTACTGACTGTGCCGGGCTGTCGTCATTGACTTCTAGAACGACACTGCTGCCTTTGGAGAATCTCTCTCCATCATAGAAGAGATCCCCACCTTCACATCGCACGGGCACCTGCCTGTCTGAGAGACAAACAGACACGCACACCATCTTCAACATGTTGCGCTTTAATAGCTCATAATGCTCCAACTCTCTGTTTTCAAGACATTTTATGTCACTGTATAGGGCTGTCTAGCTAAAGTGAAACTGCTGTCATTAAATTGTTCACAGGCGCGACAAGATAACACTCCAAAAAAAGTACATGTACAAAATCTGTCACTGGGACGATACTTTTTCAAAAGGTACACCTCTGTGCCTTATTTAGCTCTGAAGGATGCAAATTAGTACCTTAGCCTGTTAGTGTTCCATGCAACGTACCGTCCGTGGTACATTTTGTGCTTACATTTTCCAGGAATGCTAAGGGGTTAAAGATATGTATTAGTACCTAAAGTGTACATATTAACTACATATACATATTAAGTACATATGTAAATGGTACCTTTTGAAAGTGACAAAGTTTTGTACCCTTTTTCTCAGTGACAGCAAGTGATAAAACGTATCTTTTCCAAGTAAATCTGTTAAACTAGCTGTGACCGCGACGAGACGAGTGACAGATTTTGTAGATCAGTTTCCATTTCTGTGGCTGCATTAACTAGCCCTGCCTAACTTTGAATATCTTCTGGTCATTTATTGCTGAAAGCTTACCATGTAGTACAAGAGTTAGGTATTAAGAGTTTGTCCAGTTGATTATTGATTGATTATCAAATGCAAACTGCATCATTAGATCTGTACCCCTTGTGAAAAGAAGTATTTAGCATACTTTATATTAAAGTGTACTGCTGAATGTACTGACAAGCATTTATGGTAAACTAAAATATACTTTAATGTAATTCAAATTGTATTAATATATCATCAGCAAGTACAGTTTTATTTTTTTAAATATACTTTTAATACACTATAAGTGCACATTCAAAACAATTAAGCACACTTTTTCACAAGTGTTACTTTAATGTAATTCAAATTGTATTAATATATCATCAGCAAGTACAGTTTTATTTTTTTTTTAAATATACTTTTAATACACTATAAGTGCACATTCAAAACAATTAAGCACACTTTTTCACAAGTGCAGTATTATAACAGTGGTGTACAGTATTTGGTTGTAATTGATTCCTATGATGCAGAGAAAGACAATAAAGAAATGGAGGGATGAGAGTGAAAGAAAGAGTGAGATCTGGGAGAAATAAAAAGACAAATGAGAGACAGAGCAGAATCAAATGTTACATGTCAAACCATTTTTCTTAGAGATAGAACAAGACTCTAAATGTGACATTAAAGCCAAAGTAGTTTCAGTCAATCAGTCTGGAGTGACAGAGAGGGAAATGGCTCTATAAATCAAACCTCTGTATCTAACTTAATCAGAGGCCAGACAGATAGAGCTTGTGAGTGAAGGTCAGGGCTAATGGAAGCAACTGGGATGCCAATGGAGAACATGCTTAAGCCTTTGCATCCATTTTAGCTAGAGACAGACAGTAACTCTATACATGTTGTGTGTGTTTGTCTATGAGTGTACGAGTATCCCTGAAGGCATGTTTACTATGAAGTCTTTTCATAAATATAGACCCCATTATTTAAAAGCATGCATCAACACATACAAGATACACAAAAACAAACTTGAATCTCAAAATTAAAAATGATTATACAGCATTATGTAGTTACATTGTTAAAGATAGAGAGAATCCTATATTGATCAATGAAATCTATGCCAATCTTGTCGTTAGAAAGAAATCATTGGTTAAATATATTTAGCCCAAGGCAAGGTCTCTTATGGTCAGTGCACATGATTGCCTTCAATAAATTTACAAGGAGTTAATTCAGTCAGTTTTGGCAAAGTTTAATGAGGTTCACCTGACTACCATGAGGTCCTGACCTCCCAGTGTAGCTTCCTGAGAAAGACAGCGACTGACAGGAAAGCTTCAATAAAGTACTTAAATGAACACAGTGCCATTTAATAACTGACTTACTGTCTGCTTTCTTCTTCGTAGGCATCAGTGCCGCTTTTGCCTGGAAGACAGAGAGATAAAAGTCACAATCCATCACAAACGTTCACCGTGAGTGAAGAACTGATCACTCATCTTGAATACCTTCTTGATGGCCGCCCAGTCCTCTAGAATGTCAATGTCTCTTAGCATATACACTATGTATGGCCCTGAAAAATAGACAGACATGTTGAGGAACACAACTTCTTCAAACCGAGTGAGGATAAGAGGTATAGCGTGTTGGTTAAAGTAGGCTGTTAGTTGGCCTAAAAATTTCTTTCCCAGAAAAGGTCCAAACAATAAAAAAAATCATACCGTTTCAGGAGACAGTATATTCTATGGCAATACAATGAATGGTAAGACAGTTATATTATTTAATGAAACGAGCCATGTGTGATTCCTGTATAATCAATCTGTTAACTGGTGGCCTCTGGTGAACTTTTTTAATCTATTTTAAGACCTTTTCAATAAAGTTGGTGCTGGAACAAGATTTAATCCAGAAGGCAAGTGCTGACTAAATGAGAGGGAAAGAGATGGATCTCAATCTAAAGAGAATACTTTATTACCTGACACAAGAGCTGCCTTCTTCTTCCCGTCTGGGCGAATCAGGAGACTCCTTCTCTTACATTTCTTCATCCTCACTTCATCATTCAACCACTCTGATTGATAAAGAGCAAGTTTGTGTGTTTATGGATCTTGTGAGTATTTGTGCGTTTCTAAACTAGAAATTCCTAGTGAACAATAATACCTAAAATCTCCCCACAAGTCTGACAGCGAAAAGACCCCGATGCCAGACTCTGCCACAGATCTGACAGTGTTTAAGGTATGTTAACCCAATAAGGCCTACTGTATTATATTTGATACGCAGCTATATTATTAACATGATCAAAACTTTGCTAAAAGCCTGTTGAATAAAACAGCATACAAGTAGGATATACTAATACAAGTGTAGTATATACTCGTTTATACTTTTTTAGCAAGTTAAAGGCCTTTTATTATGATTCCAAACATGTCCCCGTTCAGGTTGCAGTACACTTGTCTTTTTGCTGCGAAATCTTTACTTTATAAAATAAATGTAAGAATAACTGGACTAAAGATTTTGATTATAAATTATATATTGTATATATTTTGATTATATATTATAAATTGTAAAAATACTTGATTATAAATAAATAGATTAATCACAATAAAATGCACCAAATCAGATACATCAGGCTTTAGACAAGCGTTTTTCTACATCTAATTACATTGCATTGCATTATATGTTTTGCCCCCCACAATAAGAACTGCAGAGCTTTGATTGTAAAACTAAGTATATGAATGCAATTTTATTAAGACATATTATTGGGAGATATAGAGTGACAATTGATATTTATGTGACAATTGTATTTTATGTAAGTAGTCTGTCATATGGTTATACAAAGCTCACTGGTTTACATTACAAGCTGTTAGAATTTCATCTCACCTCTGCTATATTAACATCATACACTATAATACTGTATAGCACTGTATTTCAATTATTTTAAATAGTTATATATTTATTCACTGTTATATGTTTATTCATATTATTCACTGTTTATACATATTTCAGTTAATACCATCATTGTACTTTATTATTTTTTATCTGTTGTTGTTTAATTGCAGGATGATGTTTATTTTATGTCTGTTGTGCAGCACTTTGGTTAGAACTCGTGTTTACTTTTTTTTTTTTACTTACTTTTAAGGTGCTGTATAAACAAACCTTGACCTTGAATTACAAAGATCAACGGAAAACCAAAATATAAAGTAAAAAAAAAAAACTGTCTTGAAATAAATTGACGAGTCCCGTTTTCTATTAAGGTTAGGGATTCAGAAGTAGTAATAATATTAAGCTTTAAATGAAACAAAAGACATCTATGCAGACATATATCCCTATTCTGACTGCAAGGTAAACGTGTGTATGTGAGTCTGGTATTATCTACATTATGTGGAACAAATGTCCCGACAAAGATAGTAATACCATTAAATTCTGACCTTGTGTGGACATTTTCTGGTCCTCATGAGGAAACAAACTTATGAATTATAAAGCATTAAGATTTTTGAAAATCTAAAAATGCAGAAAGTTTTGTGTGAGGGGTAGTCTTAGGGTAAGGGAATAGTTTGTTTGTTTGTTTATTTTCTTCTTAAAGGGGTCCTATTATGCTTTTTCACTTTTTTCATTTTAGTCAGTGTGTAGTGTGTATGTTTGGGCATAAAAAAGATCTAGAAAGTTACAAATCTCAAAGTCCACTCCAAAGGGAGATATTTAGTTTTTAAAAAATCCCTTTTCAAGAACTACAACGAACGGCTCGTTTGGACTACAGCGTTTGGTTTCCGGGCTTTGTGATATCACAAAGCGGCCCATTAGAATATCATTAAAAATAATTCCCGCCTACAGAAATTCGAATCGTTGGGGGGTGGGGAGGGGCGAGGTTGTGGTTAGAGCGCTTGGTTGAGAGAGTGCATCAGACGAGACGACGAAGAAGAAGTGCTGCTGCAGAGTTAGTGCATCAGAGAAAATGAAGAAGAGCTGCTGTGCTGTAGCTTCAAATTTTCGGCATGTCTAGAACAATTCTTACAAGTACAGCACGACGTAGCTGGGCGCCGCCAGTGTGCCTACACTCATAGAAAATAATGTATTTTAATTTTAAAGACGTGGCGCGATGTGGAGCGACGCAACGCTGCGCTTCTCGTCCGGTGTGCGACCGCCTGAAACGCTGCTTTTTTCACCTCCGTACACAAACGTCTTTGTTCGGGCTTCCGAAAGCGGATGATACCCCCGTGGACTGTTTGTTGTAGTTTCTTCCCCTTTTGTTGGTTTCAATCATTAGTTAATTATCCTCAGTGTGCTCACCTGTATGCCCCTCGTTATCTGCCCTATAAGTTCCTGTCTCTTGTATTCTAGTATTGTCGGTTATTGTGAATGTTGCCCCGAGTGTGTGTGTGTGGGTCTCATCTTCCTGAATCTGCCTTGTTGTGTCTACATTAAATATCTTTATTGGAATCCTTGTCATCCTCGTCATCCTGCCTGCCTCCACACACCGTGACCGTGACACTGTCACAACGCACTGGGACAGCTGACCAATCACAAAACATTTTGTTTTTCAGAAGGCGGACCTTCATCAAAGCCGGAACTAATCGAGCTGTTTGTGCCAGGATGGGGAGAATGTTATTTTAATAATGTAAATTATGTGAAAAATAATGCGTTTTACGAACCACCAAGCATGAGATCATGTTCTAGTACACCCCCAAAACAAAATCAAGACTTTGTAAAAGAGCATAATAGGACCCCTTTAACACCATTCCAGCATCTATGGCTATATTCATGGCAAGAACCAGTTAATCCATACACAAGTCTGTTATACACACACAAGTCGGGGGACAATTTAGAATGTTCACTTCACATAACCTGCATGTCTTTGGGCTGTGGCGTAAACCCACGCTGACACAGGTAAGGGGTTAGAAACTACAGTTTGTACTGTATAAAAATCATTACACCTATGGTATGTCCCCATAAAACATGGAAGCCTGTCTCTGTCTGTCTGTCTGTGTGTGTGTGTATGTGGTACCTGAGGTGATGTCTACGCTCTGTTTGTCCTCCTCCAGTCTGCGGATCTTCTCCAACAGTTCTGTTTTCATGGCATCGAACAAGAGTGTCCTCTCACTCTAGAGAAACAAGAAACTAATTACATACACACACTGACTCGATATGACTCATGATCATCACTGCAATGTCAACAAACAAACAAACAAACACAACTGTTTTGGCAGAGACATGGAAGTATTTATTTACAGCAGTGCTTTTTCACTGTGGTGCGTTTTTTTGTGATACTTCTAGATTATGATAAATGTGGTATGTGCATGTTTGTGTATGAATCTGAATATTTAAATGTTGAATTACTACTAGGTATGTAAGTTTGTTAAATCATACAATAGTACTATGGTATTAACTCTTTCCCCGCCAGCATTTTTGAAAAAAGTTGCCAGCCACCGCCAGCGATTTTGATGATTTTCACTCAAATTTGATGGCCTCCAGAATATTTTGCTGTATGAATATTTGAATATGCAATACACCAAAATTTTTAAAGTTTTATTCTAGCTTAAAGCATTCTTTTTTTTATCAACACTTGAATATAGGTAGGTTTCATAAAAATGCATAATTTTGAGCAAAAAGGTGAGAAAATCACATTTCAACATTTTACTTCGTAACATTATGCAGTTTTCATTTATATACTGCCATTGCTGATGATGGCATTATTTTTCATATACATCTGTTTACATAAGAGATCGCTCGTTTCTCCGTCCTGTTCACGTGTGTTTTTGTACTCATTCAGAAGATGTGTAATAGCGCCCCCTAGTGTATAACAGTAAAAACACGAAAAGCCGTAAAAACTCGTCTTTGGAGGGGAAGTGTTGTCTTCTATGGAACGTTATTCCGGACAATTTTCAAATAGAATAGCAAATTGTATTTTCAATTGCGTTTTCAATATGTGGACGCATAAATTGTGACATAATCCAAATGCAATTGCAAATCCTGCATTAGCGTTTGCATAATACAGCTGCAAATGGACTTTGCTTTTCATTTGAAATTTGGCCGTAGCTGTGCGTGCGCGAAAGCGAAAATGCAAACGCTAATGCAGGATTTGCAATTGCATTTGGATTATGTCACAATTTATGCGTCCACATATTGAAAACGCAATTGAAAATACAATTTGCTATTCTATTTGAAAATTGTCCGGAATAACGTTCCATAGTCTTCTAAAGACGAGATAACTCGTCAATGGCGGGGAAAGAGTTAACAAGGTTTTAAGCATGGTACCAATTTCATAACTTTTTTGTACCATGAACTTTCTGAAATACCCTGGAGTACCATGTCAATTTCATGGTATATGTATATGGCACATCATTTAATACCATGGTAACACAGAAGTAGCTATTTGTAAGGATGCTGCAACTAAATATGTGGGTCAGCTAAGCCGTGTTACCTCTAGATGTTGTCTGGCCCCCTGCACTTCACATTCATGTTTGTGTCTGACCACTTGCAGACAAAGTTCTCTGAACACACCTACAGGAGGAGAATTAACAGTTGACCTGAGACCTGCTGTTCATTTGTAAGAGAGATATCATAGAGCAGATATATGTGTCCTGATGTGTGTCACCTGCCACTTGTGTTCTCTGCTGTAGGTTGTGCTGCAGTGTTGCCAAGGGTTCTCTGTACTCTCCTGCCTTTCCTGTCAAAACCTCGTCCAGCTTCATTTTAACCTGGTTCAGACGTTCTTGAAAAAGCCTGACATTAAAGAGGAAATCATCTATAGAGCTCTAGAATTTAGTTCTTAGAACAACACAATTTGATTTGTCAGAACAATACACTATAGAATATACTATTTTTATTCGTGGCCATCCACCCCAGATGATAGCCCTGTTCCTATTGGTCAAAAAAAATTAAATGCCACCCAGCCTAAACCAATCAGAAAGACGTATTCTTACTTGTCTTTTAACTCCATGAACTGTTTTTCCAGGTCAGACATTTCATCTAGGCACTGTAATCGTCTTCTCTCACAATCTTCGTCATCCATTTCTAAAAAAGAGAAAATTCACTCTCATTCAATTTTGTTCTTTGTTCATTCTCTTTTCCTATCAATTCCAGTCAGTCTTCACATTCTTATACTTCACATCACTATATGATCAATTTTGGCTATTTGGGGGCAGTCATGGCCTAATGGATAGAGAGTTGGACTTGTAACCTAAAGGTTGCAGGTTTGAGTCTCACAATCCGGCAGGGATTGTAGGTGGGGGAAGTGAATGTACAGCGCTCTCTTCCACCATCAAAACCATGACTGAGGTGAGACACTGAAGCAAGGCACCGAACCTGTGTGTGTGTGTGTGCATGTGCACTTGGATGGGTTAAATGCAGAGCACAAATTCATGAGTATGGGTCACCATACTTGGCCACACTTCACTTTCACTTTCCTTTTTTAAATTTCACTGGATGCTATTCAAAAGCACTATGCAGTCAAGTTACAAGATTTGGCAGGATTTGTCAAATTGACAATTGTCATGCAAAAATTACAAAAAAAAGTAAATCAAAATGCAATGCAACCAATTTGACAGCTGCTGCAACATAATCGCAGACAGTTAATAAGAAAACATTCAGCATAATTGTGCAACATTCAATCAGCAGACCTGAACTTTCTTCCTCTTCCTCCTCTTCCTCCTCTGGCTCACTCTCCTCCAGGTCGCTGTCCCGCTCCTCTCCACTCTCCTCCATTGTCTCCTCTGCCTCTCCTCCATCTCGCTCCTCTTCCATCTCGCCATTAGTTTGAGGAACCTCCGGGTCGGCCTCTGTCTCCATCTCCTCCTCTGGTTCTCTGGCAGCCGGCTGAGCTGGCATGACTGTTTATAGCACTGTATTGAATAGTATTATAACAGCGGTAAGATCTCAAGGTGTCTGATATGTAGTAAATAAAAAAAACACAGTAATATGTATTAATGTAATATAAACTATGAATATAACAAATTATAAATATACTTTTATTATACATGATTAAAAATTATTTATAATTAAATTTATATACAATTATAAATAATGTATATTTAATTAAATAACAAAATAACACTGCATATGTTGTCACGTAATCTCCAATTTATTTATTTTTCATTTTTATATGATCTTATTTATATTTATCTTAGCTATATCTTTCTAAGCTGTACAATGATTTAAAACGTTGTAGCATTAAAAAGGCAAAAAGCACCATCTATCAGTACCGGAAGATGTGAAATGATGTGCATGTAAAGACAACTGACCAGACTAAAGACCTTTATTAACAGCTATAAAAGCACAGTATCCAGAGACAGCAGGAGCTGTTTAAGACCCTATTATAGGGATGCACGATATATCGGCCACCATATCGGTATCGGCCCATATCGGCTCATTTTTTCTGTTATCGGTATCGGCCTGATAAGAAAATTTGGCCGATATCTTAAAGCCGATAAATAATGCATTATTTCCTTCAGAGACACTTCAGATGCGCGCTGTTCGTTTGCAGCCTTTTGTGCAATTGTACATTGTAATATTGTGTTTATTTGATGTATATCTGATTTATCTCATATAGAATGCGTTTGGTTAAGTTAAAAGAGCGCTTCAGTTTACTGGTGATCATCTTTAGCTCAGCGCACGCAGCTCAAACAGCAGTGCACAACATTAATAACTATGATTGGGAATGTCGTGTATATAACATTCTAATGAGAACATTATTATAATAAAACGTTGTGAATTCTTTGGGTTTAGTTGCCGTGTTTCAGCGCGTTGTTATGGGAAGAGCGCATCCACAACAGGATCACACATTCTGACTATAGCACGCAATAACTGCGTCATTTTGTACATATATAAGTTGTAATATTATGTTTATGTTGTATTAATATTAATCTCAGGATGCATTTCCTTGAGTTAAATAAGCTGCCAGCAAAACGCTTCAGTTTACCGTGTTCATTCAGCTCTTCAGCTTCAGCACGCGCAGCTCAACGGCTGCTATTTAAAACAGTGGTATTAATTTGTTACTTTTTCAAAATCATTGATATATTATTAATAACAACAACCACTTGTATTTTTCTCTTATTATTTTCATCAACAATATGGTTTAGTAATTAAAATCATTTAATTATTGTCCGTGCAGAGGCTATTCCGTTTTATTGATCTATGGCGCATTCATTTTGATTCTTTACACGTGTAATGATGTCCAGTGACTTGTTTGCATTATTTATGCATAATTTTATTTATTTGTAAGACTTTTTTATGACTAAATTTGGTAATGGGAGAGTAAAAATATTTTTAAAACGTACACCGTTCAAACTAGGCTGCTTATGTTGAAGTGTTTGGGATGTGGCTTTTAATGATGAGACCTTTTTTGTAATCAGGCTCTCAAAAAGTATATAACAATTTGGATATAGATTTATCGGCCAACATATCGGTTATCGGCTTTCAAAAATAAAGAATAATCGGTTATCGGTATCGGCCAAAATTTTCATATCGGTGCATCCCTACCCTATTAACCACTTTATGTTTAATTAGAAAGAGGAAACGCCATGCACTCGTCTGATACAGTTCGTAGTATGATGAATTAGCACTCTTCAATGAGATTTATGAGATCAGGAGCGTGTTCACAGACTCGACGTGTATCATGTACGTCCTCTAAAGGCCGCACTGCACTGACTTACATTGCAAGCTCATCACTCATTCTCCGCATCCATAGTTCATACATTATATGATGTGAGAGACATTAATAGTTACAGTCTCGTGCCGTTCACATATAACGTTAATTGCGGATTTAAGTTAACGTTAGTTATAAAAACTCGTTTTCCAACTGAACAACTCCACACTTCATCCCTGAGGGTGGTGATGCCCATGAATTTCAGAGTGTGTGTGTGTGTGTGTGTGTTTGTGGTATGTGTAAGACAGGGGAAAATTAAAGACAAGAATCAAAAGACCCAATTTTTTTTCCCTACACACAGCTCCCTTCTCTGTTAATACCACAAATCCAAAGTAACCCCCTCACTTTAAATCCGCTTTAATCACTCTCTTTATTAGTTTTCCTTTTTTTTTTTTTATTAAAATGTTCATGAATGTTCCTGCACACTTATTCATGGAACAGGAGAATCAAAAACAGAGGGTAAAAAATCTCTTCTGATGTCATTTGAAACCAAGTATTGTCACGGTTTCACAAAAGGTTTTTTAGTCCATGTGTTCATTGAGACAGAGCTTTGAACCCAAATTAAAACAAAATTCTAACAACAATCCAAATTCATAAAATAAAACCATTCTATGCATAAAGATAATATGCACAGTAATGTATACTAACATGGAATACATTTTAAAACATTTCAAAACAATGAAATGTTTCCCCCTTTACAAAAAAAAGTGAAATAGAATAAAATAATACAAATAAAACCAACAAAATTAGAAAAATAAGCCCTGCTTATAAAGATCTGATTGAATCTCCCATCATTTTGCCTCCACCTCCTCCCCAATGGATGCAAGAGGCAATGGGATTGGATGAGCACCTGCTCAGGGGTGAAAGGTCACGCCCCTAAAATTGGAAAAGGAGGGATGAGATTGGTTAAGGAAAGGTGGAGGTGGGAGAAGCTTCATTTCTTCTGAGGAGTACTGAGCTTCTGCATGCCACGGATCTTGTCCAGCAATTCAGCTACAAACTCCTACAGAGGAGAGAGAAAAAATAATAAAAATCTTTTAACAAATTTAACAGAGAGGTAGATTGTTGGCACTTCAGAGTCTGCAGATTTTCACACATTTACAACAGACTAAAGGTCCTTGCACACTGAGTCCGAAATTTTCGTATGCGTTTTTTTTTTCATGTTGTTCGCATTCGTCATCCCTTCCTAACATAATGCTTGCTACGGATGCGAAAATGCAGAAAATCGAACCTGATCCGAATTTTTTTTATGATGGAAAAAATGTTCAGTGGCAGTGTTTAAACATGATTGACACAATGCAAGGTTGTATTTATTTTTTGACGTGCGAAAATTTCGGACTCAGTGTGCAAAGTTCTTCACCTATCTGTGTTTATCCTCATTACAACGAGAATTATACTACGGGGCCATTGAATGCTTGAATCTGATTGGTTGACAAACATTCTAAGGTGAGCAGGTATTTTCAGGGAAACGCATAGTTACCATTAGAAGTAACAGTGGTTACCATACACTCTTAAAAATAAAGGTGCTTCACGATGCCATAGAAGAACCTTTTTGTCTAAATGGTTCTATAAAGAACCTTTAACATCTGAAGAACCTTTCCGTTTCACAAATGGTTCTTTGTGGCGAAAGAAGGTTCTTCAGATTATAAAAAGGTAAGAAAGAGATGGTTCTTTAAAGAACCTTTGACTGAATGGTTCTTCTATGGCATCGCTTGAAGCACCTTTTGAAGCACCTTTATTTTTAAGCAGAATAACAGATGAAGGGCCATTGAATTATTAGAAAAATGGCCCGTCGTCAATTATTCCTTACTTAATGTTGTTTAAATGAGTAAATCTGAAATATCTTTGTCTAATTTGATTCTGCTAACAATGTGTGCATAATTTGCCTGCTCTTAGATACGAGATAATGTACTCACTTCAGTAGGTTTATAACAGTCTACCAGCAGTTCCTGTTGGACAATAAGAGACAAAAAGTCATACAAATGTAAAATCTGTTAAAAACTGAAGATGTAATGGAAAATGTGATAAAATGCTGAATCTGTCATTCTTGAGAAGGATACCTTGACCCTTGCAGCACGGTCTACATCATTCTCCATGTCCAACAGTTCATCCACATCAATCTCCAGCTCTGGAATCGCCTCCTCCTGTGACACATAAGCATAAACAACATGAAGTACAAGGAAATTATCTGTTTGGATCAAAGATACATCTATATTCGAAGAAACCCAGTGAGGAAAGAGTAGCTAGCTAGGCAAAGACAATGTGACGCTGGTTGCACAGAGGTTTCTGGAATGTGTGTGTGTGTAAGCGTGTATGGAGATCTGTCTTTAAGGCAGTTAGTTATATAGCATTGCCTTGTTCCCCACCAGAGTTGATGAAGGTCGGTGTAATGCTGCCTCTTCACCACTAGGGGTATCTCTTGTGTCACACAAACAGTTAAAAGTCAGTCTTTGGGACAAAGCATGCATCATACAAAAAGTTATTCAGGTTGTTTGCAGAAACAGAAGACATTTCTAAGCTTTTTTTTTTTTTTCAGTTTGATTAAGGTATGTTTCCATTTGCTTTACTTTTCACAGTCACTTCCGTGGATTTTATTAATCTCACCATTTATGGGAATGATGGTTATGTTGCCCATTGATGTGTGTAAAGATCAATGTCTACTTGCCCTGGAATGTAGAACAAATATCTAGATAGTGTAATATTTTGGGGGGTATTAAAAGTTAATATGTTAGATGTGATTATGATTCCTCCAACTTTACACATCCAGAATGGCAAGTTCCAGCATCATCTAATCATGAGCAAAACAGAAAATCGAGACTGAAAGAGAGAAGAGAAATTGAACACAGTAATACAAAACTTTGGGGACCAAATGTGATTTTGCACAGATTCAGATAAGCATGTTTGTTTTTAAAATACTGCCGTGTTTGGCTATTTTATCAGTCCAGTTCACATATTTGGCCTTGGGCTGTTGGCAAGGCACTGGCCATGAAACAGATCTGTCTGCTTCTCTTTCTGAAGTCAGACGCCTTTGTCTCTCTCTACTCACAACCAACTTCCCTAATAGCTCTAAATCAAATCAAAACCCTGATTCAAATTCAAATTTAAATTCAAACACTATCTCTCTATGCGAGTTTTAGTTGTTTCCAAAAGCAAAAATCCAACTGTGCCAGTGGAGGCTCCAAACCTCAAATATATGCTGCTGTATTTTTGCCGTGTCATCCCTTTGGCCTCCCAATTTGGTTTCTTTCTATAAAGTGGTCTCTTTCAATAAAGACTATATACTGTATCTCTTTCTCCACAAAGCTATAAATGGTCTTCACAAGACTCGTACCACCCCCACCCCCCTTTTCTCTCTCACGTTTCCTCTCCCCCTATTCTGCAAACAGTTGAGCCTTTTCCAAAACACACTTCATCTTCCTCTTCCAGACACACACACTCACGAGCCTTATGAACATGTATAAGCTCATTGTGGTTTTGGTGCAGTGACTCATACGGCATATTAAAATATCATCTGTCTAGAGAAACAAGCGCTGAAGCGAGGAACATAAGACTGCCCATTGCTTCACAATGGAAAATCAAAAGGCACTTGCAAAAACAGGTTCATTTCCAGAGCTGATGCTTTTTTTTTTCATTCAAATGCATTCTTTCTTTCTTGTACTCAATGCTACTATCAGTACTTCATCTTTTCACCACTCTTTTCCTCCCCCTTGGTTTGAGCTGCCCAGACCAGCTGTCATTGCACCTGCCTGAATACCCCTTGCCCAAATCTCTCTCTCACCAACACAAGCACACACACACAAACACACACACACACACACACTACAGTTCATTCAGGCACACTGATATTGCCATGGCACAGTCACATGTGAATGGACGCTTTAATTGCTCTATTGAATTAACAAACCTTCAATTTGTGTCTATGACTGAGTAGTGCACATATGACTAAAGGGTGCATGAGTACACGGGAGTGAATGAGCTGTAAAAACCACTTGAGCTGGCTGTTAGAGGCTGGAATGTGAAACAGTACGTGTGTGTGTGTGTGTGTGTGGACACTGAGACAAAGAATGCAAGGCACAACATGTGGGCACCATGTGCTACTAGTCACTCAGAGAGACAAGGATAAAGATAAAAAGAGTAAAGCCGAAACAGAAAGCCGAGCAAAAGACAGGAAAAACAAACTAAATATAACCAAAAAGCTTCTCACTATCTACTAGAGATTAATTTATTCCACTAAGCTACATACAGACAACTAATTAATAGCGAGGAACATAAGACTGCCCATTGCTTCACAATGGAAAATCAAAAGGCACTTGCAAAAACAGGTTCATTTCCAGAGCTGATGCTTTTTTTTTTCATTCAAATGCATTCTTTCTTTCTTGTACTCAATGCTACTATCAGTACTTCATCTTTTCACCACTCTTTTCCTCCCCCTTGTGCCCAGATGCCCAGACCAGCTGTCATTGCACCTGCCTGAATACCCCTTGCCCAAATCTCTCTCTCACCAACACAAGCACACACACACAAACACACACACACACACACACACACACACTACAGTTCATTCAGGCACACTGATATTGCCATGGCACAGTCACATGTGAATGGACGCTTTAATTGCTCTATTGAATTAACAAACCTTCAATTTGTGTCTATGACTGAGTAGTGCACATATGACTAAAGGGTGCATGAGTACACGGGAGTGAATGAGCTGTAAAAACCACTTGAGCTGGCTGTTAGAGGCTGGAATGTGAAACAGTACGTGTGTGTGTGTGTGTGTGTGGACACTGAGACAAAGAATGCAAGGCACAACATGTGGGCACCATGTGCTACTAGTCACTCAGAGAGACAAGGATAAAGATAAAAAGAGTAAAGCCGAAACAGAAAGCCGAGCAAAAGACAGGAAAAACAAACTAAATATAACCAAAAAGCTTCTCACTATCAACTAGAGATTAATTTATTCCACTAAGCTACATACAGACAACTAATTAATGGTCATTTAGCCAATGCTTTTATCCAAAGCAACTTACAAATGAGGAACTTTGCAAGCAATAATAGTAAATGACAACAATAGGTGATGCACCGCATAAGTTTCAGGATTAAACTCGACTACTAGTACAAAACTAGAACAGAAGTTAAAACGGAGAACAGTACAGAAATGAGAGAACAAGCAGATTTCTATATGATGTATTATTAGGAAGTGCCTTTATGGTTTCAGATTAAAAATGTGTACAATATAATGCAATATTGATGGTGCCATTTCCTTTTCGTGTGTATTTTAAGCTACACATTTCTCACGTGTGAATGAATAGCTCCTGTGTAAAAATTAGAGCAATTATTCAAACAATAATTTAGTCCTCATGTATTGAACCCATGACATTTGGCATCTTCCAGCCCAGATCCTATACATTTACAATTACTACAGACAGAAAATGTTTTGTTATATATTATTAAAATATGTAATTTGAATGCATAATATTCTACTTACAATGAACACTTGTTGTGTAGGAGCTCCCAGTTGTTCTTTAAATAATCCTAAATCAAATAGTGCTGTCAGCAACTCAGACACATGGGAATACAATTTTATTCTAACTATTTACTCAATTATGAGATCCAACCGCGATCAGGGCCACATATATATATACACAACCTTTCAAAAGGTTGGAATCAGTAAGATTTTTTTTTTATTATTAAATACATTTATTCAACAACAAGTCATACATTTATTTAGCAAGGACACATTACATTGATCAATAGCAACAGTAAAAAATTCTAAATTGTTACAAAAAAAAAGAATCTTGAAAAATGTATCATGGTTTCCACAAAAACATTAAGCAGGATAACTGTTTGCAACACTTATAATTATAAGAAATGTTTCTTGAGCAGCAAACAACAAAACATTGTATGATTTCTGGTGGATCATATGACACTGAAAACTGTAGCAATGGCTGCTGAAAATTCAGCTTTGTCATCACAGGAATAAATGACTTTTTAAACTACCGGTACATTAAAATAGAGAACACTGTAATAATACTTAACAATATTACTGTTTTACTGTATATTTGATCAAATAAATTAGGCCAATGTGATCATAAGAAATCTTACTGAAAATAAAAAATAAAAAATCTTACTGATCCAAAACTTTTGAACAGTACTGTAAGTTTCATATGAACAAAGTCAAAAATGTTATGGAGCCTGTGTGCATTGCAGGACCCGACTTCTGACTATCAGAATACAGTTTGATCCAACTTTGAAATAAACTCAGTCTCACCAACTGATTATTCTGATTTCTCACATCTGTAATTGATAACAAACAAGCATGGGGGGGATCAGATTGGAACTGGTGATTTCAGGCAGATCTTGTTATTTTTGTGTATAAAATTCATTAGCCAGTGAGTGAATGAACTGTGGGCGGTCTGTGGCCTGTCTGAGCTTAAGACTAAGTGCTTTTTGTCCATGTGAGTCAACGCATCGGTCAATGTGCAGGTGTGTTGAGTTACTTTAGTCAGAACATGTCTACCCTGGATTTATGGATGACTGCATTCATGTCTGGAAATGTATGTCTGTGTTCATGTGACCTTTATAATTCAGCATATGTGTATATGAGCATCTACAGGTCTCTTATGATCGTCATCTGATGTGACATTATGAGAGCAGAAGGGTCTTGGACTCAGTGCTGCTTTGACCTACATTACACAACTGTCTTCATCACGGAGGATGAGGATGATGGCAATATGGGTTCCCTAGTGGGGCCCTTGAGGTGCCAGACATAACTTGAACTTAGCCAAAATGCTTTCAGTTCCTACACGGCCTTCTCCAAAACAGTGACAAGAGCATTAGATAATAAAAAATTTTCCAGGCATAGCACAATAACTTCAATATAAGTTAAAGCTTCCAATATTCCGGCTTAAGATAAGCTCTTAAAAAATATATGGAAAACATCACAAGTACGGAAGCATTTACAAAGAAAATAAACTAGACCAGTGTTCCAGAGGGTTTAAAAGACACGTCAAGCATGCAGTTTTGTAAATAATCCTTTTGAGGTGGGAATACTTGTCTAAATAGATACATTTCTAGTTATGTGTATACGCAGTTCCCACGAGTAGAGATTACTCCATGTAAACAGTGCTTTAGACCTTGTGATTTA